GATGGCCTCCAACGGAATAGCGATGGCCTCCAACCGAATGCGATGGCATCCTGGCATCCAACCGAAAAGCGATGGCCTCCAACCGACTAGCGAGAGCCTCCACCTGGACGCCCACTTAATTGACAGGACAGGACAGGTGGTTCGCCTTCGTAGCATCGCTTGAGCAAAGGCTTAGCTGAGCGGTAATTGCGAACTTTGGGGCTTCGGGTGGCCAAGTATCCGCCCAAAAAAGGGCATGGTGTTGGAAATATGTTAACAAACCAATTAGATCAACTCATCGACTTGATAACTAATGTTAACCAACGATTTCTTCCAAACATTGCTGTGTTGCTGTTGCGCGGGTAAAGTAACAAATCGGCTAGGCACGTGCCAGGCCCCTTTGGGCGAACTGCGCACGGCCAGGTGGCCCTGCCCTTGTGAGGTCTGGTGTGCACATTCACAAGACCAGCTTCTCCAAATCTGACGCTTTCTAGACCAGCACATTTGCGTCTTCTGTGTCTTGTGTTTCTAGCATTGCGCTGCCTCCTTGAAGCACTTTACACTTTACAAGTCAGTTTCAAGCGTCAGCCTGGTCATCGAAGCAGCTTCCATCCAAATGGCCCAAACCAGGTGTAGCCCCCATGACACGCCACGAAGGAATTTCAAACCTGACACAAGCTGATGAAACGAGAAACAATTATATAACTAAAGTATATCCAATTTAAGTACTAGTGAGGGTAGGCCATGAAGAGTGTCTTAAGAGAGTAGCTTAGTAATACTAAGTAGCTTAGCGGCTGCTAGGTGGGACGCACTCTCGCGGGGTTAAGCGTCCTTGTCAACACGTACGCAATATACTCAGTGAAATGCCGCCTCGGTGTGGCAAACAGTAAGGCTTAGCTAAGGCTGCTTAGCTAGGCTAGGTGCAAAAAGAGTGGAATTCAACTTCGAACCCGGCCAATATGTGGAGAGCACAATGCCAACATCACCACGCTCAACCAAATCCTGCGTATGAAAGTCCGGCTTGGGCATCTGCATTGGTCTAGTCTGCTTGGTTTCTGAAGGATCAACTGTAGTTTGACCATGCATTTGCACTAATTCACGACAAAAAGTGCCATCAAGATATAGCAGCTATGGTCTAATAGGTCTAATATGTATTCTATATATATATATTTAATGTGAATAGTGAGGACATGTCTCCTTCAATAGCGGCATCAAATCCTCATCCAGGCGTATGTGGGTTGCTGCACGAGTTCGATTCAGGACACCGTCGATGTCGAGGAAAACGACCTAAACTGTGCAGTGAAATGTGTTTCAAGGAAAACGAAAATGCACTTCCAGTTTAGCACAACGTTCGAGTTCATCTATTGAGAAAACAAAATGTTTTCCGCTCTTGAAGTGCATTGACTACAGGAACCTCTGGTCTTGAAAATTCCACAATTCAACTCCTGAGTATGTGTTGTTTCCTAGCCTTGCACCATGCTGTTTCTATCACCGTTTAGAAAGAATGGTGAGCCAACTCTGAATTCTGGGATTAGCGGCGCGCGAGAAACGCTGTGGGGCTAGAGCCTCCCTTACCAAAGGCATTGCACTAACACTTTGATTGACACATGATCGGAGAAAATCTTCAGTTCTCCTGAGATGTTTTCATTCGAACTACTCGCTACAAACCCAATGCAATTGTGCAACAAAAACTCTGAGATGGCAGACTGACCACCCTTCTTTTTGCCGATCCTTTTGCAATGAAGGGCCATTCATGCAAACCGACTATGACTGCACACAAATGTCTGCGGGATTTGTTCATGCACAATTCACATGTTCCCTCTCTTTAGTCTGAAACAAATCAATTACTCATAATATGCTAGCAATCGATAGAGGCCATCGCTCCGCTATTAGGTTGAAAGCCATCGTTACTAGAAACAAACATGCTGGCAATCTATGGTCTACCTCTCTAGCTCGATGATTTGCGTGGTTTGCACGACAGAACATGCACAACAACCCTGCCTGGCGCTCCAACTCCTGCTTCAACGGTTTCAGGAAAAATCCCAACATGTCTGTTTCAACAATTTTCAAGACTTTTCGAACAGAAGGTGACTGAAGGTTTCGAAGGTCTCCCGTCGCGCCACCACTGCATTTGGATGCACCATATTGGCAAAATTCCGCCTCAGGAGGGATTGAATCTGTACGTAAAGAAAACGTATTGTGACAATGTTTTGGAGTCCTCGACATCCAAAATAAATCATGTGTCTTTGGGTTCAAGAAATTGGACAAATGATCACGGCGTTGTTTTGACTAAAAAGCCCACTGCACTGCAAACATGCAGTGCAGCACCCAGCTGCCATTAGACCGCCATTGCGATGCTCTGTTCACAGCACGTTACATTTCTGCTAAACAATGTATCTACTTTGTTTGATGCTCAGTTGGGGAGCCAGCTGAACCAAAAGCGCTTTCATGTTTTGCTCCTCAAATGCTGGGTTTCAATGTTTCCATAGTTCCACGTTCCGTTTGCAAGGAAGGTATTTTGAATCCGTCTCCATTCAAGATGGTTTGCAACCGACCAATGCGAATTAGAATCTCTGATGCCGATACTTTTCGAAACATGACTTGACTTGAAAAACTCCTCGGCATAAAGACCGCAACAAACCCTTTTGCACTGGCAACGTGCCATAGAATTCCACAAATGCTCACTTTTGCACATGCACAGTGACAGTATAAAGCAAATGAAAATGCAGTCTGCAATACATGTGGTGCATTTCTTGATTTTTGCCACCTCTGTGAAATGCACATGTGGCTGAGTACCAACTACACATGTCTGGCACTTCTCTTTGGGTGCCTTGAATTTTGCGTGGGTGTGAACCAAGCGCATCATGTTTAATTCGTAGAATACGACTTGATCACGGTTCTAGTTCGAGCAAGGATCCGCGCGTTTCTTTCCTTCACTTGGGCGCTTGGGCCAACCGTATGTGCAGCATGTGCAAATGAAACTTGCATGCTATATTGCAGGCTGTACCTATTGCAGTTCCTTTCTCATGTGTAGATGCTATACAGCTTTGTGCCGCAAAAATGACTAGATTCCATTTGCAAAGTCTGGTGAATAGAATGCGGGCTTTACATATCACGGCACTGGTTCTACCTTGTACTCAGAACAAGATGGAGCCCACGAACCCGAATGCAAACATGTTCCAGAAGTAACCGTTTAAAAATAGTATCCGTTTTTTTTTCCTCCGACATTGTCATGGGGACTCCGCCACCACATGTAGAGCAAGCCTCATTCTACCTTTAAATGAGGCAATGGCGCAGAGACTCAGGGAGGTCTGCATCTCGAAAGAAACATTTGCAGCGTCCAAAAGTCTCGAAAAGAAAATAACTACTTTACTTCGAGTGATCCCCACCATGACATTTCAATCATTTGACTTGATGCCATAGTGAGGAGCATGTTGCCATGGTCGTGAGTATTGTAGTTCACGATTTTGTTTGTGGGTCTTCGGGTTGTGTGCTGCGGTTGTGTGTTGTGGTTGTGGTTGTGTGCTGTGTTGTGGTTGTGGTTGCATGTTTGTGGCTGTGTGTTTGTGATTGTGTGTTTGTGGATGTGTTTGCGGTTGTGCTTGTGGCTGTACGTTTGTGGTTGTGTCTTTGTGGTCGTGTTGTTGTGGTTGCGTGTTTGTGGGTGGTTGTGTGTTTGTGGTTGTGTTTGTGTTTGTGTGTTGTGGTTGTGTGTTTGTGGTTGTGTTTGTGGTTGTGTGTTTGTGGTTGTGTGTTTGTGGTTGTGTGTTTGTGGTTGTGTGTTTGTGGTTGTGTTTGTAGTTGTGTGTTTGTGGTTGTGTTTGTGGTTGTGTGTTTATTGTTGTGTCTTTGTGGTTGTGTGTTTGTTGTTATGTTTGTGGTTGTGTGTGTGGTTGTGTGCTGTGGTTGTGTTTGTGATTGTGTTTGCGGTTGTGTGTTGTGGTTGTGGTTGTGATTGTGCTTGTGATTGTGTATTTGTGACTGTGTGTTTCTGGTTGTGTTTGTGGTTGTGTGTTTGCGGTTGTGTGTGTGGTTGTGTCTTTGTGGTTGTGTTGTTGTGGTTGTGTGTTTGTGGTTGTGTGTCTATTGTTGTGTGATTGTGGGCGTGCGTTTGTTGTTATGTTTGTGGTTGTGTTTGTCGTTGTGTGTTTGTGGTTGTGTCTTTGTGGTTTTGTTGTTGTGGTTGTGTGTTTGTGGTTGAGCGTTTGTGGTTGTGTGTGTGGTTGTGTGTCGATTGTTGTGTCTTTGTGGGTGTGTGTTTGTTGTTATGTTTGTGGTTGTGTTCGTTGTTGTGTTCGTGGTTGTGGTTGTGGTTGCGGGTTTGTGGCTGTGTGCTTGTGGTTATGTGTTTGTATTCGTGTGTTTGTGGTTGTGAGCTTGTGGTTGTGTTTGTGGTTGTGTTTGTGGTTGTGTGTTTGAAGCATACTAACTGCCATTCAATCTGCCATTCTATCTGGCAATCTATCTGACATACTATCTGGCATACTGTCTGGCATACTATCTGGCATTTTGTCTGGCATACTATCAGTCGTCCTATCTGGCATTCTATCTGGCATATTTTCTGGCATTCTATCTGGCAATGTATCTAGCAATCTATCTGACACACTATTTGGCATACTATCTGGCATATCTTCTTGCAGCATTCTATCTGGCAATCTACCTGGCATTCTATCTGGCATTTTTTGTGGCAAACTATCTGGTTGGGGTCCAGCGGTGCACACTGCGATCGGATTCTTGCGGTTGAGGTCCAGCGGTGCACACTGCGATCGGATCCTTGCGGTTGAGGTCCAGGGGTGCACACTGCGATCGGATCCTTGCGGTTGAGGTCCAGGGATGCACACCGCGATCGGATCCTTGCGGTTGAGGTCCAGGGGTGCACACTGCGATCCGGAGCTGGCCAGACAAGATCGGCGAAGCAGATTGGCGAAGCAGATTGGCGATGAAGATTGGCGATGCAGATTGGCGAGGCGATGAAGATTGGCGAGGAAGGAAGCAAGGAAGAAGGAGGAAGGAAGGAGGAGGAGGAAGAACAACTGTGATAAAATCAAACAACCCTCACCTGGCAGGTGGGGAATTATAACCGTCGACATACCACAGAGAAATCCACAACTGCAGCGTCTGGTCTTGTTGCAAGTAAGAATGTAGCACCATGCCTCGCTGCATCTTGCCTGCTTCAAAAAGAAACACCTGATCCACAAATTCGCATCCATTCATGATAGAAATGAATGGTATAGAGTTGTCTTTAACATACATTCGCGCTCGTGATTTTGAACGGATTGAGATTTTTCCGGGATTTGTTTAATTTTTCTGTTTTTCGCGGTTTTTTCTGGGCGCGCTTTACAAGCATCAGGAGCAGCAGAAAGGTCACGCCCAGTGGGAGGGAGAGAGCGAGACAGTGAAAGAGGGAGGGAAACAAAAAGACCCCCTTAACGAAGGAGAAGGAGCAGTGAGGAAAGGAAAGTGAAGAGAGGAACTACAATAGCGACTTCCGTGCGAATGTCTTCCGGCTTCGAGTCTCTTAGGAGTTCGGACCTTTGCTGTTATTCCCCATCCGGATTGCTTTGCTGACGCCCCGACGGTGGCGGAAACTGGTTTGTCCACATTGCCAAAATGGGATCTTCCCTCTGCCATGAAAGACCTGCAGCAAGAAGAAACCAAATGGCCATTGTCGCGCAGGCTGTCTTCCGTGGCTGCTCTGCAAATTTTTGGGCATTTGGGTAGCCGGACTCTGGAGCATGGTCAGCTTTTGGGAAGTGACAGGGAAGCGGTTTATCAGATGCACCCAGAGCTGTGGCATGATGTTCATGTGGCATGTTTGCAAGCTGCATCACTTGGTCAGCAGAGACTGAGACCGTGACCAATTTCAGCAATTGCCTGCAGCCGTACCCAGGTCTTACGCGCAAGCATTGACTCTACCTCCAAAGTGGCCGCTCTACCCTGGCCATTGGCGGCGTTTTCGGTTCTGGCAAACACCCGTCACTCGCATTCATGCTTGGTTGGTTTGCGGTCACCACCAACGTTTTGGTGTCATCCACAAGAAAAGCCAGCAGGCCTCGCCATTACCAAAATGCTTGAACACCTTTCACCTCACTGACGATCAATGCAAGTCCATTGCCAGACCTGTTGGTCGCCTCGAGGCAGAGGCCAATGCGATCAAAACCAAAGTTTATTGGCTTTTGCTGGGCATGAGAGCGGTGATTCCGTCTCCAAAG